AAAAAAAAAAAAAAGAAGAAGAAGAAGAAGAAGAAGGAATGGGACAAAAACAATCCATGCATCTTACTTCATTCTTTCTTATCCCAATTTGTTCCTCATACACATTTCAAATACACAAGTGTGATAGGGATTGAACTTGCTTTGACTCTCACTCAAGAATTTGGCAACTTGGGCTAAATATTATGAATATATTTGAATAGTATTTAGGTTTCAAAATAAATGAGAAATAAAAATAAATTTATTTTCTCTCCAAAACTTCAAATTCCAAACACAACATATATAGCTTAATCAGGTGTATAGTTTTTGGGGCTTTTTAGCCCAATAAATATGATAGAAAGTTCAAACCTACTTTACAATCATTAAATTAGTATTAAATATAATAAAATCAGGCAAAATATGATATTGACTTTTTTTTCACAAACTACAGTGATAGTTATAAGATTAGCCTTACTGTTTTGCCGTTTTTAACAGAAACATATTGGTTTTAGCCTTTGGTAGTTGAAGTCATTATATGTGTATGTGGGAGCCCAAAAAAGATATATCTAAAATGGTTAAATAGAGTACATCTAGGCCTATCTCACTGGATATTGGGTCATTGTCGAATAGACATAGAAACATGATAAGCAATACGTTGAGTAAAAGGTATCTAGGCCACACGACTGAGCTGAGTATATTGGGTAAGTTGGCCAGACCATGTCAGGCGAATCCAGGCTGTCCCTTTTTAAAAAGTATAATAATGAGATGGACCCTGACAGAGTGATGATGAAGGGCTAAGCTACACAGAAAAAATATCAAGGAGAATGACTATCTAAAAGAAAGATGGAGACTGAAGGAAGAGATATGTGCAAAAACTTGTATCTTAAGAAACCAAAAATACTATTCTTTCTATGAAAGCTAACTTACTCGTCAGAGTGCTAATTCCGGTATCATCGACTGAAGTTTTATTTCTATTTCAAGTGACAGTTGAGAGAATCTTCCAAGGGCTTATTTGGATTGAAGGAATATTCCAAAATCACTATCCTACAATGTATGTATATCATTCAACATTTTTTTTTTTTTTTTTTGATTTCATCACAGAAAAAAAAAAAAAAAAAAAAACCATCAATGGAAAGCCCCAAATTTTATTAAGCACAATAGAACAAGGCATGATTTTAGTCTGAGGCTTCAAAAATTCTTGAGTCGCTACCACCAATCATGTACAGAATATCTTGGAAAGAGCATAACATGAATCAACAAAATGGTAAATAAACAACTTCCTATATGCTATATTGAATACAATGTACAGAAGTTTACTAAATAGAAACAAACTTATTTTTACTAAATTTAAATAGTTACAAAATTTCTAAAATTATTAGTTTTGAAAAATGGCACTTTTAAACTAGTTCATTGCAGTAGCTAAACATTCCATTAAAAATAAAATAATTTATGAATTTCCTTAAGAACAGAAACAAACCAAACATTCCATTAAAAATAAAAATAAAAGTGTATATTAGAATTATTTATTTGAAAAGAATTGGTACAGAACAAGCTCATTCCTATCCTTACAAAGATGAAGATGAAGATGAAGATTAAGAAATCAGTAAACTCTAATCTGTTTTTTGTTTTCCTTCACAAAAATTAAAAAAAAATTAAAAAAAAAATCTTGTGTTCTTCTTGTTTGGGTCTATTTGTTTGGGTCTAAATTTGTGGTTTACCTTTATTTGGTAGAATGGGAATTATTGAATCTGATTTTATTTTTATTTTTAATAATTGAGTCTCTGGCCAGAATAGGAGTATTTTTTTATTATGATTATTGTATTGTATTGTAATGAATCTTACTTTTTGGAATTTTAATTTGAATAGGAGTATTGTTTTTTCATTTTTATTTTTTTTCATTTGTTCTTATTCTACCTGGTAGTTGTGAGGGATGTCATCTGGCCAAAATTCAACAGCTAATTCCACCCAAGCCACAAGGGGAAAATCTGATATTGCATAGGCACATGTTATCGAGGGACGAGATATCAATGGAAAGAAGACTTGCTCATGTATGTATTGTGGGAAAACTATTAAAGGTGGAGGGATTAATAGAATGAAGCAACATCTTGCAAAGAAGTCGGGTGAGGTTGGGCCATGTAAAAAATTTCCCCCAGATATTCAGTATCAAATGCATGAGTCTTTGAAAGCATTGGATGAAAAGAAGAAGCAAAGTGCAGAAAATTATGATGAATTAAATCCTTATGGTCCAGGTGGTTTTCAATTTGAGGGTGATGATGTTTACGTTAATGTTGATGATGAGGCTGATGGGGTTGTGGAAACAATTCCTCGGAACAATAAGGGCAGTTCAATCAATGAAGGAGCTGGAAGTGGGAATAAGAGTAGAGCACCAATGACACATAAAGACAAGGGGAAGAAACATGAACCAACAAAAATCGGTGATTATTTTGCACCAAGGACCACTCCGAGTTCTCAACCAACTATTAAAAGTGCCCTCCAAACTAAAGAAGCCATACATAGAGCACATATGATTGTTGGCAAATTCTTTTATGATACTTGTATTCCAATCAATGCTGTGAACTCCATTTATTTTCAGCCCATGTTTGATGCCGCAATTGCCATTGGTCCAGGATATAAGGTCCCTACTTACCATCAACTTCGAGTTCCTTTATTGAGAGATTCAAAAAAAGAGCTTCAATTGTATATTGACACTTTGAAGAGTTCGTGGGTTACGTGTGGATGTACTATTATGGGTGATGGTTGGACTGATGATAGACAAAGAAATCTAATAAATTTTCTTGTGTATAGCCCTATGGGAATTGCTTTTGTGAAATCAATTGATGCCTCTGAGGCTGTCAAAGATGCTTCTCTTCTTTCTAAATTGTTTCTAGAGGTTATTGAGTGGGTGGGAGTGTCGAATGTTGTTCATATGCTGACAGATAATGGAGCAAATTATAAAGCTGCTGGAGGACTTGTAAATACAACTTACAAATCTATAAATTGGTCTCCATGTGCAGCTCATTGCTTGAACTTAATCTTAAGTGAAATTTCCAAGATGAATCATGTGCATGAGCTTGCTATTAAGGCATCAACGATGACAAGGTACATATACAACCGTTCATGGTTGTTAGCTCGATTGAGAAAGAAGAAGAGTTGGACTGAAATTGTGCGCCCAGGAGCAATGCGCTTTGCCACTACTTTCCTTGCATTGCATAGCATTTATGAGCATATGCATGATTTGCAAGCTTTGGTGACAAGTAAGGAGTTTGCAAGTTCAAGGTTTGCCAAAGAGAAGAAAGGAAAGGATGCCATTGATATCATTTTAGATAAACTATTTTGGAAGGATTGCTTCATCACTGTTAAGATTGTTGAGCCACTTATGCGTCTTTTGCGTATTGTTGATGGAGATGAGAAACCGTCCATGGGATATGTTTATGAAGGCATGTATAGGGCAATCAAAGGTATTAAAGATATTTTCAAGAGAAATATGAGGTTGTATAGGCCTTACACAACAATCATTAAAACTCGTTGGGATAATCAATTGCGGAAGAATATACATGCAGCAGCTTATTGGTTGAACCCAGCTTTTCAATATGATCAAGCTTCATTTTGCAAAAAGCCAGTGGTTATGAATAGTGTACTTGATGTGATTGAAACTAAAGCCACATCAAGTAAAACGAAGCTTATGAATGAACTTAGATTGTTTCAAGATCGACAAGATAGTTTTGGAAGAGAGCTTGCCATTACTACATCTAAGAAAACACAACCTGGTAATCGCTCTCTTTTTTTTTTAATAGTAATTATCATTATTATTTGATTTTGATTGGAATATTTTATCTCATTTATCTATTTCTTGTTTCTTTTTATTTTTTATAATATTTTTCTTTCTTTCTTGATAATAAGATGAATGGTGGAAGATGTTTGGACATAGTGCTCCAAATTTGCAAAAGTTAGCCATTCGAATTCTTAGTCAAACTAACAGCTCTTCTAGGTGTGAAAGGAATTGGAGCGTCTTTGAATGCATACATACAAAGAAAAGGAATAGACTAGAACATCATAGACTTAATGATCTTGTGTATGTTCATTACAACTTGCGATTGAAGAATAGGTAAATTAATCTTTCTCATATAGTAACTAATGGATTTTTTATTTTATTCGTTTATTTAGTCTTACAATTGAATCAATATAGGAGGTATTACAAAACAAGGAATTATGATCCCATTGACATTGAAAGCATTGACAAAACCGAGTTTTGAATTATTGAAGAAGAAAGACTAGAACAAGAGGAGCCTCCATTGCTTGATTATGGTGAGCTCGAAAAAATGCTTTATGAAGAAGATGAGCGTCCACGATATATGAGGCAATGTCATGGTCTACGAGCTGGTTAGAAAATAATGTTTCATCATTATGCAACAATCTTTTTTATCTATCATTATCAAAATTATAGGTTAATGATTTTATTTTAACTATTGTAGATGATGTTGAGGATGATATGGAGGTAGAACTTCTTGGAGATGATATCGACTTGGGATCTTTTGGTGACGTGAACATTGATAATAGATCAAACAACCCGAGCACTAGTGCAAATGCGAATGAGAATGATGATGATGATTGGCTAAATTATCGCCCTTAGGAGATTTAGGCAAAAATCAAAGATTGTTTGTGATGTTGTGTTATGTTGATTTTTATCTTTATTTTTAAGAATGATGTCATGTTGTAAACATCTTTTTACATTTGTTGCTTGAGATTTATGTTTTATGTCGGTACACTTTGGACTTACTTTTGTCTTTTTTGTAACTTATGTTTTATGGATTACTTTAGTTGGATGCTTTCATAATTTTTATTACTATGATTGTTGTTTTTGATGGCTAAATTTTCATCTTTAATTTGTTGTTAGTATGTGAAGTGTTATGGCTTATATTCAGGAATTTTTTTTTTAATTATAGAAAAACATCACTAAAAATATTTAAGATTTTTTTTAAAAAAAATTGAAAATTTAATATTTAAATTATTAATTTATATTTTAAAAAAAAATTATTTATGACATAATTATGACGTCACAGTTCGATCCGGTTCAACCCGGCGGTTGAACCGGTGACCCATCCACCAAATCATTTTTCCGGTTCACTCACCGGTCCGGTTTTCAAAACCTTGTTCTGTCTGACCATTGCTCTGAGGAAAACTTGGAGTGGAGTAGTAGTTCTTGATTTCGTACTTTGAACAAAGTTCACTCACCGGTCCGGTTTTTAAAACCTTGATTTGGACCATCATTTCTTAATCCAATCACCATGTCCTAGTATAAATTATGGCACTCTAATGTAGAAATGTCGATGGAGTTGAATTAGACTATCACATTTGTGTTGTCCCTATGCCTCACAAGCACAGTGGAGGGGGCAAACATGATAAACTTTGAAAAACCTGAGTAGCTGAGTCCATGACCAAAGTCGTACATCAATTTGCCTAAGTAGACCTGAAAAGTTCTACCTGGATAGTTTCTTGTGGAATCTTGCCTTAAGTTAATGTCTGTCATGGGCACTTGATCAACAAAACTTTGGGGATACCAACTAAAAGGGCACCTCCCACCTGACAATAGAAACAATTTGTTACTATAGGATTATGTTATATAGAAATATATATGTTAGTTGATTCCGTGGGTGAGAGTGATGATGAACCTGAATTGAATTTTTCAAAAATTACTTGGGCAATGGCGTCGCCTCCAGCTTATCCAGGATAGCCTGAGAGAGTTATGCCTGTTTGAAGTTTTGGAATCCATGCTGAAAGTAAGTACGCTCGAGCGGGAAAATCGACGCTCGAGCGGACCGCGTGAATTCAGCAAGTTTAAAGGGACTTTTCTAGACCATTCTTCACACTTTTTATCTCCTCTCTTCATCCTTCTCACCTTGGTCCGAAAACCCTAGGTGTTTGACCTCAAATGCCTTCCATTTCCCTTTGGATTGATCAAGATCTTCCACCAAAAAGTGAAGAAGGCTTGAATAACTCACATTTCAACCGATTGGATTTCAGATTGGCGAAGAATTCTTCTTGGAGCTTTGTTCTTTTTCTTGATTCTTGAGGTAGGAGTCCTAGTTCCCTTTTAATACTTGCATTAATGGATGGATTTGTGGTATTTTGACTATATAAATACAAAATCTATATTTTTGAGCATATAGTTGTGGACGCGCCCTCGGGCTTTATGCCACCACAATTCAGACTCCTTTTTGTGTCACGGTTCTTAGTCTGAACCAAAGAGTCCAAATTCGGCAAATCGTTTTGAGAAAACAGATTTTTAGAAAAGAAGTGCCAAACATGGACTGCTTTGCCAGATACAGAGTCGCCACCTAAATACTTTTTTAATGGGGGAATTTAGGAAACCCTGACTTGTTTGCCTAAGGCCACGTGTCCATCATTACCAAAGTTGCCTCGGCTCGGGAACTTGGGTACGATTGGGGAAGGTCAGCTATGAGCACCCCCTCTCGCCCGATCCGAAGATCAGCCTCTACTAACCATGATATCCAATTTTGAAAACGTTATGTGTTCTTATTCCGGTTAATTAGCTAGAATTACTATGTGATGCGCACAGCAAAACAAGTATAGACTAGATCGCCTAATTTGGAACAAAGCATCGCATATCCGTTTGTTTGGAAAATGTTTTGAAATTTGCTACTTACGAGCAGGCTAAAACACGGATTTTGATGAGTTGTTCCAACTCAAGCAATCCAACCTTCACCCACAGGCATTCAGGCAGTTTATATCACATAAGCATCTAGCCACATGGTAAGCATGTTGTCATGTTAACATTCACACTCGTGCGAGATGCTAAAGCACAAAATACTTACAGTGTACTCCAAGCCAAAACAAAGAACTCGTTAGCAATCAATGTATGATCCAAGGCCATGTTAAGTGCCTAATGCAACGCATACATAATGCAATTAGAATAGGCTCGGCTAATCCTAGGATGACATGTGAAATGCAACCATTTGATGCACATATTCAAGTTAGATTGAAATGCTTATGCAGTTAGCATGATGCGCCGAGCCCGGTGTATGCAATGCTGATTATTGATGCACGCATGCATAGCATAAGGTATGCTAAATTAAATATGCCCTAATACTAACCATCAAAGCAGGTAAGTAAAAGGGAGAAAGAAATGGGGTTGAAAAACATGCACACACGCACCCACACTTATTACAAATTTGCCCTCGCTCGGAGGAACCGAAAGAATAATACAGATTTAGCTAACCTACAAGCTAATTAAATATTACAAACCAATTAAACTAGTTAAGCAAATTAACTAATTTAATAAAACAGTAAACAGCCTCGGGAAGAGGGCCCAATGCAATGCGTGCTCGGCTCCGCTCGGAAGTCCACTGCCATGCACAAGTTGCCTCTGTCCACGCTGTTTTCCTTCTCTGATCATTGCAAAATTCCCAAGGTGCACTCTATGAACCCTGTGGGATACCACCGGCCAAGGGAAATGGTCACAGGCCAAAGGAAATGATCACCGGCCACTGGTTAAGCTATCGGCCACCAATTGTTGGTCGGTCGGCACTAAAGATGGCCGGCTGGCCAAATCTTCCTGCAGAATCCTATTTTGACCGCAACAGAGGGCAAAACAAGGCATGGCAATGCATTCCAGGCAAATGTGTGCACCAACACATCCCTTATCATGTTTATGACTCAAAGGGACATGGTTCTCGGTTCTCGGACCACCAATCGCGCATTTCGATGTGTGATGGCCCAAGAAACCAAGTTATGCACTTTGATTTCAAATGAAATGCACATAAACAAGCAAGGAGCTCAACCTCTATCATACTCAATTCAAGAGGCTAAGCATGCATGTCAATGCAATGCAACCTAGACATATGAGCTAGTATGCAACATGAACAATGCGAACAAGCATTCAAGGCATGTGACAATCATGCTAACCAATAAGTATGCCCAATACAATGGGGATGTTCAAGCATGCAAGCAAGCATGTGACTTCATTTAATCATGCTACAACACATGGAGCAAACATGTTAAACAACCTAAACATGTGACAACACACAAGGTGAGCATGCAACAACATGCGAACTATGGACTTAAACTAATTTGGGCAGCCCTCAACTAGGCCCAAAACAGTGGCCAACACACTAAGGAATGAGAG